CAATTATTGACCATGTTATCCTTATAACTTTTTATGCAGAATGTTACAAGGAATTTACGTACATAAAACAATTATTGTAATTCCATTTAAAAAAATGGCGATGACCTTTATGTGACCTTAACAACGCAGCCTAAAAACCAATAGTATCTTCTTATGTCTCGCTTCGAACCCTACAACTTTCGTCTAAAACGTTTTTTCATATTTACAGTCGTTTCTAAAATCCAGGGGCGGGGACAGATTTTAGAGACACCCTGTATATACACATATTTATTAATTTCTTTTATCGGGTACTGTCCCAAGGGACTCTTTGACTAATTTTCATCTTGATCCGTGAATTCTAACCGTAGCGATTGCGTCTAATTCAATAAATAAATGACTATATTTCCAACATTTGACCCCCATATCTCGAAAACTGGTCACACAAACCTTGTGCCCATTGGAACTTTGAATCAGGACGTCATACACATCATACTAAATTTTCAACCAAATCGACTGATATCCATTTTTCCCTACGATTTGTGCGTGGTCCTTTAGATGCTATAATTATTCCCGGTTGCACCAACGTTATTTTGGTTTTAAGCGAGACTTTTTCATACCAATATTGAAAACAAATGACATAAAAACATATTTATTTATAAAAAATGTAACTTACTCATAACAAAACTGCAAAAAGTAAGATATGCTTCAATTTGTTTTTTGACTTGCACACCCGTTATACAGAGTATCCGATAATAAATAAGTTTATCTTACTGTGACGCAATCTCATAAAATATGCATTAGGAAGCGAATTTTTTATTCAAGTATTTAATATCATTATTTAATGTCACATTATTTGTAAGAATTTGGTTGTGCCCTGAAAACGAACACAGACCAAATAAAATGATATTTACCTTTTTTTAAGATTTAACTCGTACATATTAACATTTGAAAACGCGATCTGGCTATGTCAGTTAACTCTCTTCTGCGAAGCTGTGTAATTCTTAACAATATGAGTATATCAGCACACAGCGGGAAAATCTGCGCACTATGACGCAATACATATCACGCACATCAGGTAACGAAGAATTGGAGGAATGACTATAAGTAATATGTGTATATGTGTAATATTATTCCCGCTTCGTTGTATGCCTGGTATAATTGATAAAAATATATCAAAGTTTGTTTCCAGGACATTGAGGAAAATTAGTTCACTATGACGCGATAAATATCACGTATATCAGGCAAAGAAGCATTGGAGGAATGGCTATAAATAATATGTGTATATGTATAAAATTATTTCTGCTTTATTGTATGCCTGGTAATTGATAAAAATATATCAGAGTTCGTTTCCAGGACATGGCGGGAAAATTACTTCACTATGACGCGATAAATATCACGTATACCTGGCAACAAAGCATTGGAAGAATGGCTGTAAGTAATATGTGTATATGTATAATATTATATCTGCTTTGTTGTATGCTTGGTAATTGAAAAAAATACAATCATTTTGTGACCTAGCGTTCGTTTCCAGGACACAATAAAATTTTTATAAATAATACAATATTAAATAGTTGAATGGAGCACTCTCAGCTCGGACATTTATTCTAGTGCGATGAGATCAGTCTATTGTAACATGATATGCATGACGCATATCGCGTCACAATAGACTGTCATCGCTCACTTATCTTCCCATCTAACGCTAATATTCGTGCAGCGAGATTTTATCGTTTTTATATATTATCGAACATCTGTATAATAGGAATGCAAGTCACTTTCAAATTAAATGGATGAATAATCTACATAAAAAATGAAATTCATTTGAGAGAGATTTAGAATAAATGTCCAAGCCGAGTGCTTCATTTATATATTTAATATTGTATTATTGATAAAAATTTTGTTGTGTCCTGGAAACGAACGCTAGGCCACAAAATAATTGTATTTTTTTCAATTACCAGACATATAACGAAATGGAAATAATATTATACATATACACTAATTACACATAGCCATTGCTCCAATGCTTCGTTGTCTGATATGCGTGATACTTATAGCGTCATAATGAACTAATTTTCCCGCTATGTCCTGGAAACAAACGCTAGGCCACAAATGGTTGTATATTTTTTTCAATTACCAGATATACAACGAAGCGAAAATAATGTTATACATATACACATATTACTTATATAACCATTCCTCCAATATGTCGTTGCCTGATATGCGTGACACGTGTATTGCGTAATAGTGGGGCTGATTTTCTCGCCGCGTGCTGATATACTCATATTGTTAAGAATGATTTGTATTGTTAAGAATTACACATATTCGCAGAAGGAAATTAATTAATTATCAGATCTGTTATTATCAGATCGTGTTTTTAAATGTTAATATGTACGTCCAATGAGTTAAATCTAAAAAAAGTGTACATATTTTCTGGGGGTAAATAACCTAACGTTCGTTTACAGGACACAACCAAATTCTCACAAATAATGTAATATTATATAATTACTTGAATAAATAATTTGCTTTGGAATACATTTATCCTGTAATATATAAGTATATTAATGGGTTTTTACATAATATGATTTTTTTATTTAAATTTTCCAGAAAACAATAAATATCTTTTGACTTGCAACCCGTTATACAGAATAATAAGCAAGATCATCTCATTGTGAGGCAATACTTACAGGATAATTTATATTTCGAGGCAAATTATTTAATATCATTATTTAATATCACATTATTTGTTATACTATATATTATATATTATATATATTATACTATATATATTTAATATCACATTATTTGTTATAATAGATAATAATCTATTATGCTCTTGAAACGAACATTAGGCCAGAAAATAATATTTACTTTTTTAGATTTAATTCATTGGACGTATAACTTTTGAAAACGTGATCTGACAACAACAGTTAACTTTCTTCAATAAACCTGAATAATTCTTAATAACAATATTTGTAATTCTTATCAATATGAATATCGGCACACGACGTGAAAATTAGCCCACTATAACACGATACACGCATCTCAGGCAACGAAGCATGGAAAGAATAGCTATAAGTAATATTTGTATATGTATAATATTATTTTCGCTTCGTTGTATGCCTATTAATTGAAAAAATATCCCATTTTGTGGCCTAGCGATCATTTCCAGGACAAAAATAAATTGTAAATAATATGACATTAAACATCCGAGAAACAACGTACCTTCGAGTACATTTATTCTAAGTTTTTTGTTAATGATTTAAAAAAAATTTTTTTTATTAATAATTATAAGAGAATAAAATTATTTATATTTGCGCTTACGACTAATGATTGTTTAAAGTCAATAGACAATAATCAATACAAAGGAGAACATTGTATATTAGCAGAAACTTAATTTTCGTCTAAGTATATTTAAGACAAATTTTTAATGAATACACTTTAATTTATAAGTAAAAAAATTTTGTTTTTAAGAAAATGTATTTTTTTTAATCTCAAGGAAATTAATGAAACACATGATTAAACGTGCATCATAAAATTTATTCTTTATTAATTATTATATTATACTATTTATATAATTATCCTGTTTTAATTCAGAAACAAATATTCGCAGAACCTACAAATTAAAAAAATCACAGAACTTACAAATTAAAAAAATATAAATCGAATTAAAAAGATATTCGATATCGCGGTCTGCGGGCGAAAAAGTATATATCTTTATATGAATTACAAATATTACATAAAAAATTAAAGCTACATATAAATATATAATGTTTTGCAGTACATTGTCTTAGTATAAAAGAAAATTATTTTTAAAAATATAGTTACTTATACGGAAAGAATAGTTACTTTAACATTTACCTCATTTCAAAATATTTAATGTAATTACAAATGTATGTAATTAAGCTGTGCGCTAAGATATAAAAGAGTTCCTAAAAAGTAACATTATAAAATATAAATATAATTACGTAAATGAAGATTAAAGATCTCTAAGTTTTAATGAACACAAAATGGCTTAACGCAATAAAAATAATTAAAAATAAAAGAAAATTTAAAGACTCTAACAATCAGTTTTATTGAACACAAAGTTTCTTAACGCAATAAAAATAATACAAAATAGAAGAAAGTTAAATGTCCCTAAGTTTTAATGAATACAAAGTGACTTAACGCAATAAAAATAATTAAAAATAAAAGAAATTTAAAGTCTCTAAGTTTTAATAAACACAAAGTGCTTTACTATAATAAAAATAAATATGTAAATAAAAATAATTCTTTTACACTTTATCACGTTTATGACTATTCATACACTTTATTACTGTTATACTGATATTACATTTATATATAAATAAACAAAACTGAATAAATACTAAAAAGCGATACTAAAAAACATAGAAACAGATTATTTAGATGTAATATCAGTATAAGTGATAAAGTATAAAAGAAAATTAAAAGTTTTTAAGTCTTAATGAACATAAAGTAGCTTAACATAATAAAAATAATTGTGTAAATAAATATAATTCTGTAATTATATTTATTTATTGTACACAATTATTTTTATTATGTTAAGTTACTTTATGTTTATTAAGACTTAAAGACTTTTAATTTTCTTTTATTTAATGACATTTATATTTTATTGCGAAATTGATTGTGTATCCAAGTTTTTATTGCTGCTGGCTGTCGATTTTTCAAAATGTTTTTGCGCGTTTTGGATATTATTTCCTTTAACGAAGGTAAAGTAGAATTATTAATATTCGTTTCGAAGAGTAATAAAGCTGTTTGCTTTTCTTCAGAAGTCCAACGTATTCTTCTGGTCTTTCCGTAAGGAGGTGCTAAACATAAATTATAATTAAATCTATAAATATATCGTCACAAATTAAGAAAAGTAATTTTAATATTAAGAAAAAGGTATGCATTTCTTTAATGATTTTATATACATGTATAATTGTAATATTATTTGACTTACTGAATCGTTTCTTTTTTGGCGCACATTCTTCATCTGAATTATTTATATTTTCTATGGCGCGTTTTTTTACATTTTTTTGTTTTAGCAAAATTTTCTTTGGCAAATTATTCTCTGATGCTTCGTCTTCAACTATATTGTTAAAAATAAACTTTATGTAAAAAAATATATAATACAAATTTTCTTTTTTCATTTATATATATATGATAGATTATCATATGAAATTGTCGTTTTTGTGTCAAAATAAAAATGTTGTATTTTTAAGGAAATAGATTTTATACACTCAAAATATACATTATTAGCAATAATATTTTTCTGTCTACTTAATATTAAATTGTATATTCCTTTTTTTATTCGAGCTTTTTAAATCGAACGAAATAATCCAATTATCAAATATCAGCAATTCCATATGATACAATCTAATACAATTACTAACAATAAGTATAATATTATAAAAGTATTCTCTAAAATTATAAAAGAATTGAAGAACTTTTAAAATACCTAAGCTTTGAATTTCGTTAATACTATTCTCTGAAGTATTAGCATCTGTTGTACTGTTTGAATTAGTAGTATTAGTATTTGTATTATTAGTAGTGTCAATATCAGTGTTATGTGTAGATATATCTTGAGTTTTCTCTAAAATTTTGGCCATATTTAAAATATCAGATTCTACTACAGGCTGTCTGTAAATATTTTTATGTATATCCTTATGGTGACCCATAAAATCAGCAATGAGAGAAATTTCACTATCTGGTAAGTGTGAACATTTTGTTGCCATGTCTTTCCGTAAAATAGTCCCACGTAAGCTTTCTTTGTTCTCTGCTCCACATAGATTAGCAAATTCACGCATCAATTTACTCGCTCTTAAATATCTAAATCGTTTTTTATCTGCACCTGGCAATCCAAATATATATGGATTTTTTGAACTTACTCCTGCCAATTTCCGATATCTTAAAATTATGTCTAAAGCCTCTTTCATTTTAGCATTCAAAAGGACTGGGACGTTCCGATTTAGCTTGCCACGAATTGTGAAACGAATGTACTTTAAAGCAGATATTTTTTCTTTTTGTGGTAACCTTTTATATAATTCATCCTCTTTTGTAATTTTTATGAAATTTTTGTAATCAACAATGTAAGCTCTTTCTATCTCTCCTGCACGTCGCCGATTGAAAATTTGAATCATTATTAATATTGCTTCAGCAAGTGATTTCCAAGCACAAAACGTGAATTCATTTTTTATTTCTCGCATGCTAGATACTCTTATTTCTTCTAAATAATTGGTTAACTTTTTGATATCTGATGTTTTCGGAAGATTAACTTTTTTCTTTCGACTGTTTCTAGTCTGTATTTCTGTAACTGTTTTATTAACGGTACTACCATATTCGACTTCTAAAATCTTTAGAAAATTTTTTGCTGATTTTTGTTTTTTGTATTCATGTTGTTTAATAAATTCGTTGATTAAGATCTTACATAATTTTTTTAAACATGTGCCCATAGCTGTAGCATTATATGGTATATCATATGATTCTGTGTCTTCATTATATTTAGCAATTATATTTACTGCTTTTATAGCAATATCATAATATTTCGGGTCAAATAGCATTTGTAATTCTTGTATTGCCGGTTCTATTGATTTTAATACTTCTAAATATCGTCCAAGAAGTCGTAATTGTTGTCGTATGTGGTCTCCTAAATGCTGCAATCTATGAATTTGACAGAGGTAATTTCCGTATAGTATAATTAATAAATCGTACTTTATTAATTTATAAATATTGTCATTTCGCATGACAGGAAGAATGTCCTTTCTTAATTTATGGCTTGCACGATTATGAACAGATTGTGCAGCGCTTCGTGCTAATTTTAATACATTTCGAGTTGTATCTTTCTTCTTAGCACAAATGCGATAATGATGCCTGAGATTATGTATTGCATAATGTCCTCTACACTTAGAACATGGTAAAAAATAAGAACCACATTGCTTCTCTTCTTTAGTAGGTCTTCTTACAACAATCATGGAACCGTCATTTAAATCTGCCTGTGTATTATATTTAAAATTGCCTCTTTTTCTTATTTGACTAATTGCATCTCTTCGCTCTCTAGATTTTTTTGGAAGTAATAAAAACATTTTTACTTCTTCTTCATTTTTATGTTTTAATTCTAGGTGCCGAGCAATTTTACTTTGCATAGTATTGCAGTAAAAGCAAAAATTATATTTTTTATCTCCTTTGGGCCCTTGAGACAATTCTACAAATAATTCATCATCTTTGCATGTTTCTATTTCTTTTTCTAACATATTTTTTTGTTTGCATTTTCTGAAGAATTTGCTAATATGCTAGATTCATTATTTGCAATTTCTAAATCATCATTTATTTCAATATCAGTATGTTCAATATCAGTATCATTTGAACTCTGAATAGATGGTTCATAATCTGAATCTTTATCGCTTACATTAGAAATTTTATTTTTCTCAAAATCTGAAATAATAAACATTTTAAAAGATTTTATTTTAAAAATATATGAATGTTAAAAATATTATGCTTTATTTTTATCAAATTATTCTATCAAATTATAGAAATGCTAAGTAAAGAAAATAATTGAGTAAAATTAATAAATTTTATTTATTGACAATTTAATAAGTTAATACTTAATGAATTTAATTTTTAAAAATAACAAATTAAAGTTAAATTATATTTAAAAAGTATACCACATTATTTACATTAAATTAGCTTAATTCAAAAGAATTTATAAACAATATGTAACGCGTCGTCTACAATGAGATTTTTAGACGTAAGACTTAAGAAATTGACCAATACAGTCGAAGAGAGATTATTCTTCTCTAATCTTGTCTGTGATTGTTCAATTTCTTACGTCTTACGTTTTAAAATCTCATTGTAAACGACGCTTAACTACGTAAACTGTTACTTTTTTATTATTGTGAGCGAAGAAAAAAAATTAAAAATTAGTTTATATTATATTTTTAGTTATTAAATTAGTATTAGTTTATATTACCCTACGTAATAATTTGATGGATAAAAATTATTAAATATTTTATTTAAGCTTAATAACAAATCTAAATTTAACTTTTATAATATTGTTCTTTTTAAATATACTGTAAATATACTGTCTTTAGCGAAACCAATATTGCGAACATAATTAAATACTTTTTAAAGGAACAAATTAATAAAAATATACATACCTGTATTTTGCGAGACATTTTCAATTTGTGAGTTACTGCAATATAATTTATTGTCATTGTTATTTATATCGTTGTTTATAGAAGAATTCTTAACTCCGTTTAAATCACAAAATGGTACTATAGTGCTGTCCAGTTCAGTATTTTCAGTGATAGATGTAAACGTGGATTTATTTTCAGCTAGTACTTCGTGAATCATTTCTTCTCCATTATTATTATTTAAATTTGTACCACAATTTTCAAAATTATTTATGTCTATTCCATTCATATCAGAAACATTTACATCAGAAAGATTTACATCAGAAAGTTCCAAATTCCCCAGAATAGATGTATTACATGAACTATTTGCTGTTGTGTCACTACTTTTTGATAAAATAGTCATATTTATTTTGCATTTCTTGTCTTCTATAATTCGAGGATAGTTTTTAGAAGATTTAGTTTTATCTAATGTATGACTTTGTAAATTTTCATTAGTTATAACATTGCTCTGTAATTTATCATTGTGAAAATCGGACTTCACATCCAAATCTAAATATGAGTTTACTATAGTATTTGATTCCTCATGTTGAATATGAAACTGATTTATTGTGTCTGCATTGGAAGCACATTTGTCATTATTTGTTATATTAATTGGCTCATTACCTGCAAATAATTCAAAAACATCTTTGTAAATATTACTCTTAATAATATAACTTACACGTATGGCTTTTATTGTTGTTTGTGTCCATTAAAAATTGCTTTCGACAAAGATTTCATTACTGCGTAATGCTACCCAGATATCACAATAGTTCGCAGAGTTCAAAAGAGTTCGCAAAGAATTTATTGAAGCTTCACTAAATTCTTTGCGAACTCTTTTGAACTCTTTGCAAACTATTGTGCTATCTGGGTAGAATAGCAGTTTATTATTTATAACAATTTTTTAATAATATTATAACATAATACACATTTTTTAAATATATTTTTATTGAAATAAATTAAATTACTTTACTTTATGTTATCTTATTACATACTTCATAATTTGTTAATGATACATATATCCAATTTATTATATCTTTCACTGCTCTTCTAAATTGCATCAGTGAACCAACTGCATCTACAATGTTAAACTGTGCATTCTTAAATTTACTTTGTGAAGCAATTCTGAAGATTGTTACAAATTATTAGTATAGAAATTACTTATAATTAGTATAGCGTTAGTATCATTTCTATGTTTCTTCACACGCAATACATTTTTATTATTTAAAATTAAATTTATTTTATTAAAATTAAATTAAGATTCTATTAAATGCTTAAATTATTGTATCATTTGATTTACTTAATATTAGAATAGAGGTCTGATAAGATATATTTTAAGATATGTACTTTCGACAAAGATTCTCTTACAGCACAGTGCTAGAATATTGAAACTTCAGTATTTAAATACTAAAAGTAACAATATTAAAGAATTTGATCTTTCACATATAATTTATGCAGTATAATAGGCAATAATTATAATTATAAAAAAAATCAGTATATAAAAATTACCAGTAGTTTCATTATTTTCACATTGGTCACTTGACCCTTTGTTAACATCCTTTATTAGAATTTTTGGTGAGTTGGTATCTATGTTCTTTTTTATTTCTATAAGAGTGTGTCTTTCATCTGAAAATAACTAAAATTAATTGCATTTTTTCCGTAACATTTTTTAAATATTTTTTCATTTGAACCAATTGGATATGATTGCAATTTCTTGTATTTTTTATTATTATTTATATTTATTATAATGTTCTAAACATCCAAAAATTTTAAATAATATTTTATTTTTCACATCCTGGAATACACCATTATACATAGAATTATTCCAGGGCAGTCCTGGAAATCACTATTGTCCTGAAAGCTGCCATTATACAAGTGTCTTGGAAGACTTTAAAACATAATATCTCGAGAACGGAAAGAAACATTTAACTTTTTTAGGTCACAATCAGTTTATTTTACTTACCCGATTTACAAAGAAATATTCCAACCCATCGTTTTCCATTGTCTAATTTTATCAAATAATCTTTTTTCTTTTTAATTAGACTAGTAGATTTCACAACTATTAATGTTTTAGTATGTTTCAATTTGAGTAAAGAAAACATAGTTTGGCTAAAGTAAAAAGCTAAAAATACCAAAAATAATGAAATATTTTCATCAAAACTAATATTAGTACCGCGCAATTCAAGGCTATATAACCTGCATACAAAACCGGCACACAGCATGTGTCGCATTCGGTAATACCAACGTTTTGCAATAAGGGTTAGATCACATGTATTTTAAGGATAATTCACATTATACACATAGGGTGTGTTCGGGGAGAGCGCTACCAGCGTTTCTTTTTCTTCGTTTTTCCTTTTGTTTAGAAAGAAGAAACACGAAGGAGAAATGTTAATAGCGCTAACCGCGTTTCCCCGAACGCATCCATAATATCATTGGCCAAGTTTATTTTGCTCGCTTTCGTCCTGAAAGCGAGCAAGACAAATGGGGTAATAATGTGAATTTATCTTAACATAGAAACATTTTTAGCATCGTACACTGTTATTTGTCCTGGAATACACCATTATACATAGAATTATTCCAGGGCAGTCCTGGAAATCACTATTGTCCTGAAAGCTGCCATTATGCAAGTGTCTTGGAAGACTTTAAAACATAATATCTCGAGAACGGAAAGAAACATTAACCTTTTTTAAGTCACAATCAGTTTGCTTTATTAAAATGTATTTAAAAACTGTAAGATTTTTAACTGTCTCGGAACAAACCCTTTGACATATATATATATATATATATATATATATATGTAACTTTAATAATATTAATTATAAATATGAAATTTTATGTAATGTTGCGAATGCTCACCTTGTAAAAATGATGAATGGGAGCTCGAGTTTGTAATTTGCGATGATTGTGATTTTTCGGAAGAGCGTACATTGGATGTAGTTTTACATTGTATCCGAGATACATCTGAATCGTTGAGTCGTTGATCTGTGTCAAGATTTTAGTAATTAATTTTGATAGAATTTATATAGTCTGGATTTTATGAACTTCTCATTTCACTGTAACACTCTAAATTTTATTTCAAATTAAGATTACGATTTATCGTTAGCATTTTCCCAGATGCATCGGACCCACTCTAAATTTTATTTATTACAAAAGAAAAAATAAAAGTATCAACACGTCTTAACGGTCCAACGTTCGAAATTATACTGAATTTCGGTGATGATGTAACGTATTAGAATCGATGTAAGGTGACTTTGTGTTCGCCATAAATACTTTACCACGTGTTTTGAAAACTTTGATTCCAATACGCGACATCATCAAAGTGATTCAAGCTATAATATAAAGAAAAGTTAAAGAAATTTAAATATAATATAATTTTACATGAATCATAAAAACAATATATTATTATATATTAATAAAATAAAATATATGTAAAATATATATGTGTAAATGTATGTATAAAATATATAATACAATATGTTAAATATAAGAGATATAAGAGAGTTTTACACATATATACATACATATATTTAATGAAGAAAATATATATACATTGAAT